TACGCTCATTAGGCGTGTATTTCTGTTGGCCTAATATTACGTGCTTTTGTACCAAGGCAGGCCGATCTTTTACACCAACAAAACATGGGTCAACACTGGCCACACGTGTAATTAGTGTGGGTTGATGAAACTATAGATGCTGTCCATAAAGTGCATTGATCCGGACTGTCGACGGGCCTTCGAGACCCCAGTGGAAAAGGCGGCCCGCTTTTTGTGACTCATTACGGGAACGAGAATGGCTTTGTGGAAGACGCACGTGAAATGTTTCATGCAAAGAACAGCTCAGGCGATGATCAAAGTGAGATGAACGGTGACCAGAAAAATGGTTCGCTAAGATATTGCTGCCACTTCTGCCACCTGGAAGTGCCATAGCCATGAGAAAGGCACCATATCACCCCGTGAAGCAGGACGATGTACCGCAACTGAGCAGTACCAAACTGAAAGGCGGGACTTGCTTGTCTGAGAGATAGCGCTATATCTTCAGCTTCAAAAGAACCGAACATTACAGGACCGATTCGGTCCTTTCCTCGGGGGTGAATGCGTTTGTCATAAAAACATCCAAACGTTCTTTCCAGCCAGACAAATCTCTGTAGAAATGTTCACATTTAAGGCACTATATTGTGCATGAATTCCAGCCAGACGAACAGTGAATGTGTTTAGAATAGCACTTTGGCAATGTGGTAGACCAGTTTTAGTTTGTGAGTGATGACTTTATGACCTCACGAATCGATTGTGGGTAACATTTCTCATTTTATTTCATTTTATTTACCCTCAAGGTCATATTGCATTATAGAAGGGAGTGGTTACGATTAGACAAGAAACTAAAATGCAGCACAAAAATAAGTTATTCAATAAAACAAAACCAAATTATACAACGTTAGCTGCACAAGGACAACTGCCTTAATACAATATGAACATAATACAAGTGCAAGTTTTCTAAGTGTACAAGATTGGGTAATGTATGTCGGAAAATTTGGTTATTCGTAATAGTTACCTTGGGTAGATGGTTCCAGTCTGCTGACGTATGAGGTATGAATGATCGATAAAAACACTCGAAGTTGCATAATGCGATGAAAACCTTATGACTGGTGGTAGATACGACGGGATATGTACTGAAGATTCAGGATGAGTTGGTCATTTAAGGTGGGATGATAAAGTAATTTTTTTAATTTGGCCAGACGAGATATTTGATGACGGGATGAAAGAGAACAAAGACCTAGGCTGGATTTCATTGAAGTTATACTGACAATGCGATTATACTTAGAAAGTATGAAACGGACGCAGTTATTCTGTATGACTTCTAGCGAAGTAATCAAGTTATCGGGGTAAGGATCCAACACAGAAGACGGGCATTCAATTTTGAATTGTACTAATGTCTTGTATAAGAGCCCTTATAGTGCTGATGGTGCTTTTGAGAAGTTACGACGTATGTGGTCTAACATGCTGTTGGCATTATAGTAAAGTATTCAGTGTGAGATGCTCAATTGGGCGCCTCACATCACGATGAACCTATCTCAAGATGGGTTCATCGTGATAAAAACACCTAAGTATTTGTACGAGCTGAGTGTATCAAGTGCGACGTCGTTTAGGCAGTATGTTAAAGGGGTGTTCGGTGATCTCATTACGCGCAAAACCTTGCGCTATAAGGAATGGATTTAAACATTTGCCCATGTTTAAGTCCATTCGCCGTGTGCTGCACCAAGCTGCTAAGGTGTTAAGATCAGAGCTGAATTAAGGAATAACTGTCATTATTCACAAGTATTTCATGAAAAATGACGAAGTCACCTGAAAAAGACCAATGTTCATCAAGAACGAGCTGAATTACAGCTAGGGTTTTGTCATCTCTCTCTTGTCTCATACCGACCAGCGCACCTGAATCTACACATGGAGGGCGCACGGGTTAAAGGGACACTAAAGGCAACTACTAAGTCAAAGTTTATTGTAGAAATAGCGGTCCAGAAACCTCGTAGCAGTTACTTTTATGCCAAATAAGCGCTTGTTCTGAAATAATATCACTTTTTAGTGGTTCTCGTCGGGTTTGCGCACTTAAAATTACCCACCTCAAGAAGAACGTCTGACGTGCACTGTCGCCGTGCACAACGGTGCCCTGCTTTACTGCGCGGCCCCCGAAACCAGTAGCAGGAGAAAGAAAATAGCGGGAGCCGCAGCAGCAACAACGGCCATTGAAAAAGTTCCTGCCATGGCCTCTGAGATGGCAGGCGTGCTTGGTTCAACGGGGCCCCGCTAGATGGTACGACCTGTCCAGTTTAACCACGCCAAAATTGAACTTTTGAACAACTCGCGCCATTCCCCACAGTAACGTCTGGTGGTTCTTTCTTCCATGAATCTGACACAAAGGGAATAGCGGTATTTTATTACGCCTCTTGATGCACGGAAGGTTCTTTATTTAGTGCATCTGTTTCGAATATTACTGATTAATTTAGGTGGTCAGTCTGACGTCATCAGGATCATATTGCGAATGTTCTAGTCATTGCGCATGTATTGATAATAGTGTCGTTTTAGGAATTGTCGTATATTGAGCTCTCACTCTGACGTAAATTGTTATTTGAGTTTAGTGTCACTTTAAACAAATTACCTCAGCGCTCGTCATACCTTGAGAGCACGATTTGAAAATCACTCGCTCTCTCGCGCTGTGATTCGTTCGCGATGGAATGGCTCACTGCATAGTGTTAACACCCTGTCAATTAAAACAACAGACATTTAAGCTAAGCACAGCGTGGGGTACACAATTTGCTGTATTGAACCGCTGTACAATGATTATGAACTATGAATACTAGTAAATTGAAATGCAAATAAAGTGGACGAACAAGCACCCTTTTGATTGGCTCCAAGTGAACCCACAACCTTTGGTAAAGGCTTCAAGTACGTGAACGCGTCTTTCGGAGCGTGTGGGTTCGGCTCCAATCAATGTAAAAGGGGCTTGTACGTTCATTTGACTTTCTTAGTTTTCATAATGTATTTTCTTGTGTGTTTCCTCATTTGTTCCCGATTTGGTTCACATGTGTTTGCGGACGGGATACCTACATTCTCAGATGACCAATTCTTGCCCCTTCCTGCAGAGTGGTTAAGAGCCATTGGGCGCGAGACCCACCACTGGAGGTGCGGGCGCTGCAATCGCGTTGGCGTGCTAGGTTGAATCACGTGATTTTACCTTTCTCTGGCGAAGGGAAGCGGATGGTTTAATGCGCTGTCTTTAACCGCAATTTCGAGGCGCCTTCCCTTTTGTAGCGTTAGCTACACCGGCCTCGCTGAGCCAATTTCGCGTGGCACTGGTCTGCGCATGCGCAATGATACTCCGCCGCCGCCACACGCGGCTCGCCGCCGGTGTGCGCGCAATTCGATGCGCTGCGCAGACGATCAGTGGTGTCACGCACCGGAGCCGGCACCTCCCTCGCACTCGGCCGCGGCCGTGCGCGACTCGCCGCCACCGGTGTGCGCTTTCCAGAGGAGTGCCGTCATAGCCTTGGTAGACATATGGACGCTGACGCGCGCGCCTTCCCTGTGCAGTCGCCATCTGACACTGTGCTGGAGCCGCTTGATAGCGCCTCTGACTGGCGTTTGCCACTGTGGTATAGCAATGGAGAAGGAGAGTGCAAATCCTGCTCAAAGGTGCAGTAGAGCGGAGAAGCTTAACTCATCGGATCCCGAAGTAGTTGCCCAGCAAAATAAATATGCGTGTGTCATTGCAGCAACAGTAAGCATGATAATCAAGCTAATCCTAGACACTCTGGAAAGCTAAGAATAATCAGCTGAATCTTTGCTAAAGCTACGTATATCCTGGCATAGCTGAGCTAAGCCACTGCCATTTTTTTAACAGAGTTCTTTTGCTCTCACTTCATGTCCCTGGCTACACAATCCGGGAAAGCGCAGTTAAATTTCTCGGTGGCATAATATAGTTTTCTTCCCTAGCCTCGCCTCGCTTTTCATGCGAAAGAGCCAGGCATGAAGAACAAAGCTTCATCCTGAGGGAAGGGGCACTCAGTAGCCTGTTAGTTGGGGCCCCAAGTCCAGGTCCCCACTGACTTGCATCGCTCGCCTAACGTGACTCAGATGCGCTAATTGCACTTCGGGGGATCTATGCTTGGGGGAACTCTAGCCGCCTTACTTGTCGTGCGGTCGTCGCTCTGTGCGGGCTCTATGCGTGGCGCCTGTTCACAGCCGGGCGTGACATTTCATTTTTCCCCTACCCAGCTTCGATAGAGCATGATGCAGCTGTCATCAATACACCTGTATTTTTCGTTGTTTCATTTAGAGCTCATGAGGTTACAACAAACACCGATCGCGAATGTTCACACAAAAGCAGGACGTTTCAACTCACGCACGGGACCCTTATGCACAACAAAAAAAATTAATGCGCAAACATTCCAGTTATGCATGTTTGAAAATGTGGCGTAGACATGAACGCGTACGTATGTGAAGATGCCCTTATTACATTTAAGCGTGCATGCGTGCCATTGTTCGGATATTGAAATATTCAAGAGAAAGTCCCAGATTTTTTCTTCGATTTCTGTTTTCGTAAACTTGGCCCAGTGCCAGTCTATTTTGTGGCTGGTTGCTTTCACGTGTTCGGTCAGTGCGTTCGATTAAATTTTCTTTTTATATCACACATGTGCTGCTTCAGTTTTTGGTGAAAGTCGCTAGACTATTACTCGTTTGTACAGATGGCGACCGATTTAGTTCCTCATCGTTCGATTCAGTTTGAGAATGTTTTCACCTTTAATTAACCACAGATTTCATGGGCAATCTCCGCGGTAGGTAGCAGCCGAGAATCAATGACCAAGCAAGCAAGAAAGTAAGGCAGTTCCCCTGCCAGCCGCTTCTTGGCCAATCCTCCTTTCTGGGTGAGCGCCATCACGAATAGGGCACTATCATCACCGTCGTCGTTTAATCCCTCTCGTGGGTATGAGCCATATTTCCTAGACTACAACAAAATCATCTCAAAGAGTGCAGCAACCAAAGAAGCTATAGCTTTGACCGGAATGGCAGATCGCCGACTTCAAGATCTGGGGGACGAACAACCGACTCCTCAGTGCCTGCAGAGGATCCAGCACGACCTGGCAGAGCTGAACGCCGACCCACCGACGGGCGTGTTCGTCTCGACCGAAGAGAACGACATGACCCTGCTGCACGCCGTAATCGTGGGTTCCTGGGGCACGCCAATCGAAGGCGGCTTCTTCCGCCTGGTGCTCAAGTTCCCGCACGACTACCCTTCGCGGCCGCCTCGCGTTCGCTTCTTGACCGGCGTGGGCAAGGCGTCCTTTAGCGGCCACATCTACAGCGAGCTCGTGTGCCTTAGCGTACTCGGCACAGCTCCCGGACCGAGTTGGAACCCCGCGATGAACATTGGCAGTCTGCTCGTCTCCATTCAGTCCTTCCTGGCCGACGGCGCTTCGGAACGCATGCGCTACAACACCGTCAGCATCGCCGTGTGTGACACGCTCGAAGATTGCCTGCAGAACACAGACTCGCCTTCGGTGTGCCTCTGCTCTGTCCAGCAGATGCTCAAGTACTTCGCTTGACAACTACGCAAAGTACGAGGGCGCAGTCGAGGCTCAGATCGGTTCGCCGGGAGCATTTTCGTGGTTTAAGAATATCATGATCGGCGATTACGAACCGCTGCTCAAACGACTACGCGACATCAAGAAGAAAATCGACGACCACAACACCACTGCACAGTGATCATATAAAACGAGCGGTGCTTTTGACTGATCGTTCGCCACTGAACCAGAACGCTATGCAGAGAGACGGCGAAGCAAGCATGACAACTTCGTACGCGCTCTCAGGCACAGTAAAAGCAGTTCAATACTTATATGTACCGTTATGGTTCATTGTAAAATATGCGTAGCGCATGTAGTGGTTCCAGCATAAAATTGCTGCCATTTCCAGCCTGAATTATGAAACGTTGCTTGTGTCACTGCTAGGTCTATGCGATTCCGCTTATTATTATTATTATTATTATTATTATTATTATTATTATTATTATTATTATTATTATTATTATTATTATTATTATTATTATTATTATTATTATTATTATTATTATTATTATATTATTATTATTATTATTATTATTATTATTATTATTATTATTATTATTATTATTATTATATTATTAGCACGCATAAAAAACTATTGCGCAGCTTACACAAGTGGTGCAACGCTAGAACCATCAGTGGAGCTTAGTGTACACCTAGCTAACTTTTTCTGGTAATGCCAAGCTTTTGCTAGAGATGCTAATCTTTTGCTAGCAATACTCAGTGTGGATATATACTTTTCTATCCTTCTCCGGTTTCGGTCGATTCTCCATACGTGCGTCTCTCGTGATTATCGCGGCAACATGTCACGTGACCAGTTGGCGTGATGCCAAGCATAGAGTTTCTCACAATCAAACCTAGAGGGAAATCTGGCGCTACTGAGTTGCTGGATGCAAGGGAATGACGGGATACGTGAGCTTCGAACTTGACTCAGATTTGTATACCTCAAAGACGCGTCTGGCTTGACGTTAAAATGATTGATTTCTTACTGAAAGAGCACGTAATAAGCTATTTATTTTTCTCATTGCACAGAAACTTGTTTTATTCAATACTAGAACCTTCTACGTTGATGTAGACAAAGCGAGCGTTATTTCCGCCCCGTTTATGTCGTCTGTTTCTTTCCTTCGCCGTTTGTTGTGCCGTCTAGGTAAGTGGACTTTTACTTTAGAATAGAATACGCGTGAATGAGATCTGCTTATAAACGTTTTGTTTAAGAAAAGCTTTATTTACGCAGTCGTATTTGCTTTTAAGCCAAAGCCTCGCTTAACACCAGCTAACACAAGCCTCACACAATGGAAGAAGGAAATATTTTTCTTTCCTCCATGCCTCGCAGACACATATACCGTCATTTCCAGCGCTCCAACATCGCCCCTTAAGAAATTCGCTTAGACGGTGGCGCCACACTTCTCCCTATGTATTTGTGAGAAACACTAAGATGCCAAGTGAAGTTAGTCACGTGACTAGCTATTACGTGATTTTGGCGGGAACGTGTCACGTGGCTAGTTGTTACGTGTGGTTACGAAATATATCCGATTCTTTGTCCCCCTTCTCATTCTTGTTAATTTGTTTTATATTTTGGTTTATCGAATTCTTCTGCATTTTTCACGTTGTTTCAAAGGAACATTATTATTGTTCTTATCTAATTTCTCTTTTTTTTAGCAAGCGTTGTAAAAAAATCTATTATAAGGTACAGTGTGGCCAATCCCCCATGTGGGTATGAGCCAAGATCTCCTAGGCGACAAGACAAGACAAGACTGTCGCTGTCGTGGATAATCGACTAGTTTCCGCCAATAAACGTCTTAACAATTTGGGGGAGAGTGCTGAGAGTGCTGTGCCCTTCAAACATCTTTGGTTCACATTCGATGCCCTTGGAGCTTCGATCCCGTACCGTGCCTCCTACCATGCACCAGGACCCCGCTCAGCAAACGCTCCCTCCTACGCCGACGCCATGTCCCGGTGACCCCCGCATCCGCGACCCTCCTGTCTTCACCGGCGCGGAGGGGACCGACGTCGAGGACTGGCTCGCCATGTACGAACGCGTGAGCGTCCCCAATCATTGGGACGAGGCAGCTAAACTCGGTAACCTGTTTTTCTACCTCGCGAGTGTGGCCGGAATGTGGTACAACAACCACGCATCTAATTCCCCGACCTGGTCCGCTTTTAAAACCGCTGTCGTCGACGTGTTCGGCCGTCCTGCCATTCGTAAACTGCAAGCCGAACAGCGTTTACGTGAACGAACACAGCAGACCGGCGAGTCCTTCACAAGTTACATCGAGGACATCCTTGACTTGTGCAAGAAAGTCGACCTGAACATGTCAGAGGCTGTCAAAATCACGCATGTTCTAAAAGGCATCGCCGACGATGCCTTCACCATGCTCCTGGCCAAGAACCCTCACACTGTGGCAGAAGTCATTACATTATGCCAAAGTTACGATGAGCTGTGGCGGAAGCGCTTGATGACTCGTCGACCGCCCCCACGTGATGCTGGTCTCTCGGCTTTGTCAGCGGTTCCTGACCACATTAACCTTGCTCGCCGAAATCAAGTCATTCGTGCGTGAGGAAGTTGCCCGCCAGGTCTTTTTACTGGCTTTTGCTTCCCCACAACATGCTCAACAGCCATCAAGTACACTTCTACCTCCGCACCGTCGAGCCATTCAGCAGGAAATCGCGGAGGTCGTTCCTGAATACCACCAGCCACCTCCTGTATCTGCGCACTCAGCTACGCCCAAGTTGTCGCCAGGCCGCCCCCACCGATTTCTTGGGCTTGCCCCCAAGTTACACCAAAACCACCGCGAGGCCCCAGGCCTTCGGAGAAACTGTGTTGCCTACATACGCCGACGTCACCCACGTGCCCCGAGTGCCGCCCACCATGCTCTCATATCAGCAGCCGGCTCGCCCATCGCGTTCTGCGACATGGATGGGACCCGCGAACCGATAGAGCACTGCTGACAATCGCCCCATCTGATTTGCTTGTGGTCGCGTCAGTCACGTAGCACGCTATTGCAATCGTGTGCAGCAACCGCAGGTCGCCTCGAACTTTCCCAGCCAATCAAGCCGTTCTTATGACCAACCGCCGCCTATGTCACCGTCGTCCCGCCCCGCTCCGTCTACCCGCGGTTCACCATCTCCGCGACGTCGCTCACTGTCACCGATGCAGCCACGTCCACTCGAGGGCGACCAGAAAAACAAGTCGTCGCGGTCCACGAGGCAAGGGCTGCGACGCTGTCAAACTGTAGAAGCCCACAGGAAAGCCCGTCGAACGCGAACGACGTACTTGTGGATGGTGTTCGTGCATCTGCCCTTGTAGATACTGAAGCCGCCGTATCCGTCATGGACGCAAAACTTAGCCGATTACTGCGCAATGTGACCACGCCACTCTTCCGGCTCTCCCTTCGTACAGCCAGCGCCCAAAGCATTCACCCTACGGCGATGTGCACAGCCCGCCTTATGATTCAGGACGTGATGTATGCGGTCGAATTCATCACAATTACTTCATGCTCTCACCACGTCATCCTAGGATGGGATTTTCTCTCCCGCCATGACGCCGTCATTCATTGCGCACCAGCAGAAATAGAACTTACACAATTCTCTTCTTTGACGCCAGCCGACAGTCTATCTGCTGCAAGCAAGTTACTCGTCAGAGATGACACTCAAGTGCCTTCAAACTCGTCCGCGACGGTGTCGGTCTACTGCGCAAGCCTTTCTGACACCGCTGCACTCCTCTCGCCATCTCATCGTGTTTTCATCAGAAAAGGTTTGCTGGTTCCTTTCGCGACCGTGAAACTCACTCACGGCAGCACCACTATTTTTGTAGCGAACTCATCTCCGTACAGCATTACGTGGTGCGAAGGGAATGTCTCGGCAGCGTGGAACCCATCGAAGACAAACAAGTTATGGATCAACCCGATGAAATTCACTGCTCAACTTCCAGTACGCTTAGTGCTCTTTCGACATCTGCTTCATCATCCCATGATGTATTCGGTCCCTCCATTCTCGACAACCTTACGCCAGGCCAGCGTTCCGAGCTTCTGGGCCTGTTGGAAGAATTCCGGTCTTATTTTGATGTCGCCCAACCTCCTCTCGGCCGCGCATCCACCGTTACGCATTGCATCGACACAGGCACACAGCCACCGCTGCGGCAACGTCCATATCGCGTATCTCCCACAGAACGCCTTGTAATCAACGAGCATACCGACGAAATGCTTCGCCGTGATGTTATTCGACCCTCTAGCAGCGCCTGGGCGTCTCCTGTCGTTCTCGTCACGAAGAAGGACGGCTCTGTGCGGTTCTGTGTGGACTACCGAAGCCTCAACAAGATCACTCGTAAGGACGTGTACCCACTACCACGGGTAGATGACGCGATTGACAGCCTGCAAGGAGCAGAATTCTTTTCAACCCTCGATTTGCGCTCAGGGTACTGGCAAGTACCTATGGCTGAGGACGCTCGACCGAAGACCACTTTCGTCACCCCCGACGGCTTATACGAATTCAACGTCATGCCGTTTGGGCTGTGCAATGCGCCCGCCATCTTTAAGCGCATGATGGATACTGTTCTGCATCACCTGAAATGGCACACGTGCCTGTGCTACCTCGATGACGTCGTCGTTTTCACTCCGGACTTCTCGACGCATCTTCAACGCCTAGGGCATGTTTTAACGCGTCTGAGTGACGCCAGTCTGCAACTGAACCTAAAGAAGTGCCGATTTTCAGCTCGGCAGCTGAAATACTCGGCTACGTCATGTCCAAGGACAGAATTCTCCCTGATCCAGCTAAGCTTCGGGCCGTGACCAAGTTCCCGAAGCCGACATTCGTCAAGGAACTGCGCAGTTTCGTAGGGCTGTGTTCCTACTTTCGGCGCTTCATTCGAAACTTCGCGACTAACATATCGCCGCTGACGAAGCTCTTCGGAAGTAACGGGTCTCTCCAATCGTGGTCATCACAGTGCGATGGCGCTATCACAACGCTCCGTCGTTTGTTGACGTCGC